TAATAATAATAATAATAATAATAATAATAATAATAATAATAATAATATAAGGAGGAGGAAGAGGAAGAGGAGGAGGAGGAGGAGGAGGAGAAAAAGAAGAAGAAGAAGAAGGAGGAGGAGGAGGAGGAGGAGGAGGAGGAGAAGAAGAAGAAGGAGAAGAAGAAGAAGAAAAAGAAGAAGAGGAGGAGGAGGAGGAGGAGGAGGAGGAGGAGGAGGAGGAGGAGGAGGAGGAAGTAGTGGTGGTAGTAGTTAGGCAGAGAATCATAGGGTTGTTGGAATGTACCAACTCTTGCTACACCAAGTGCAGGGTTTTCTCCCTGAATGTACTGCAATATGTAAATGAAGATGAGTAACGAAACATCTCAGATTTAAAAACTTTTTGGTCCCATTGCTGTGATTTAACCTGTTTAGATACTTTTGGTGTCTAAGTTTATTCTAAGTTAAGAATATTTTGGACATGTGATGCGACACCCGGAAAAATATGGCATACTTCCACCTAACCCCTTAAAAATTAAGCAATTTAAGACCTGTGGACTCCAGATTGACGGCAAAGGAAGGTCCAGGTAGAAGAAGGACATTATGGCTTCAAAATCTAAGGGACCGATTTGGGCAAAACTCAGCAGCAGTTTTTCGTGCAGCTGTTGATAAAAATAGGATCGCCAATGTCCAAGGATATGATAGAAGGAGGAGGAGGAGGAAGAGGAGGACGAGAAAGAGAAAGGAGGAGAGGAAGAGGAGGAAGAAGAGGAGGAGGAAGAGGAAGAAGGAGGAGGACGGAGGAGAAGGAGGGGGGAGGAGGAGAAGAAAATACTTTTGGCCTGGATGATTGAGTCTTCATTTCCAAACTCCAAGCATCTTTTCAAGGAATTATGGAGCATTATCTCATTCCTTGGCCAACTCTCCTGCACCACCACCTACGCCCCTGAAGTCCAACCAAAGCATTAATGCGGTTGGCACTCACCCTTGTGCATCAAGTGCAATTTTTTTTTTACCTGACAGTTTGGAATGCAAGGAACCTCTCTGAATAATGGACTGGTGCTGGGATCTGTCTGGTGGCGCTACACGCACGTAAAATGGAGGAGAAGGTGGAACCGGACAAAAGAGAGATACAAAAGGAGAACAAAAATCAACAACATTGCAGTGCCCGGAATGACAACATTATGGGTAATTCTCGACTTATAGCTGTCATTGAGCCCAGAATTACGGTTGTAAGTCAAGCCGAATTGTTAAGCAGATCATCATTTGATCGCGCCTGATTTTATGCCTCCCCCCTCGGTAGCCGTTTGGTGAATGTGGTAAATCGAACACTGAGTCATAAAGTCAATGCCAACATGATTAAATAAAACCATTGTCCACAATGGGTAGGGTTTGGGGTTTTTTTGGACGGAAATCAGAAGTAACGGTTGATTTCCAGCTAAACATGTCATAAATTATTGCTGTGTGAGCACAAGTTTGCAGGAGATGACCAGGCTGACCTGAGGGTGGGGTCAAATGTATCATCAGTTTGGAGTCCTGATATCCCTGTAAGAGATATAATTCCAGCCCACTCCCCCTTTCAAGTCTGTTGACGTTTATTGGGCACCAATTTGTCTCGAGCAGGGGTTGGCAGACTCAAAGAGCCACAAAGGTCCCTAACCGGAAGCCTCCTCTTCAATTCTGGAGCTGACCAGACATCTGGTTCCCCCACCATAGTCTCTCCTCCTAGTGCGGTGTCCTTTTGTCATGCCCCTGTTGGAGTCTGAATCCAAGTAGGAAGACAAACAGCTGACAGGGAGTGGGAGTGTGGCTCCATTGGCTGTGGAAGAAACTGGGGAAGGGCAAAGTCCAGCTGGGCAGAGCAGGGGGAGGTAGAACAAGGGAGTTCAGAGGAAGAGCCAGGCCCACCCCATCTTCATCCTAGGGCAGGGAGGAATGGAGAAGAGAGCAACGTGGGTTGCGTGGCTTACGGGGAAGGAAAGGGCCCTGATTCCCTTCATTAGCCGCAGCTGGGAAGAGAGTTGATAAGAAATGCATGCTGAATGTGGTGGCGACTGGGAACAAACATGACTTTATCCTGTGTTGTCGTTGCTTACCTGTGTTCTTGGCATCTTCCCAACCATGTGAATTTTTCTGTGCCTTCATGTCTAGAATTATTGCCCCTCCCAAACTAATTACCTCAGTTTGGTTTGATTGGACTTATAGTTACAGTTTTTGTTGACCACATTTTGGACTTGATTCTCTGCAGCCGAAGGCTGTTCTCGGGAAAGTTTTTCTCTAGCCAGAATGTAACCAGGACATTGGGGGCAAAGTTGGAGCTAATAAAGGGACTCTTATTGATTATCTGTCTGTGTTGCTTTTGTGCCACACCCCTTTGGGTCATCACACCTTTTTCCTCTACCTGTCCTAACCAAAAGCCCTATCAATTGTGGAGCTGACCGGCGACAGGGAGTTGCAGCAGAGCGATGAAAGAGCCACATGCGGCTCCAGAGCCGCAGGTTGCTGACCCCTAGTCTTGAGCACTGATAGATCAGATTTTTGGGTACGGGTAGCATGAAATAAACTGATCCTACTTTGGAATTCTATCCTGGCTCCTGGTTTTTTTGTGTCTGGATGGGGCCCTGCAAATGATTTCAAATGCAGGCTGAGAGTCAAGTCCAAATCCGATTCACATGACCCACAGAGGGGTCAGGGCAGCCATCAGAAGCCTAAATCTAGGTTGTAAGTACAGGTAATCCTTGACTTACAACCACAACTGAGCACAAAATTTGTGTTGCCATGTGAGATGTTTGTTAACTGGGTTTTTTTTTGCCTCATTTTATGACTTTTCTTCCAGTAAGAATATTTCAATATCTCAAAGGTTGCCCCAAAGAAGAGGGAGCCAAGCTATTCTCCAAAGCCCCTGAGGGCAGGACAAGAAGCAACGGGTGGAAACTAATCCAGGAGAGAAGCAACTTAGAACTAAGGAGGAATTTCCTGACAGTTAGAAGAATTAACCAGTGGAACAACTTGCCTCCAGAAGTTGTAAATGCTCCAACACTGGAAGTTTTTAAGAAGAGACTGGAAAACAATTTGTCTGAAGTGGTGTAAGGTTTTCTGCCTAAGCAGGGGGGTGGGCTAGAAGACCTCCAAGATCCCTTCAAACTCTGTTATTCAGTTGTTAAGTGAATCACTGCAGTTTCTAAGTTAGTCAGAAAGTCGCAAAACGAAATCACATGACCTTTGGAAACAGCATAACGGTCATAAATACGAACCACTTGCCAAGTCTCTGAATTTGGATCACGTGACCCTGGAAATGCTACAACAGTCAGAAGCGTGAAAAACAGCCGTAAGTCATTTTTTTTCAGTGCCGTTGTAGGTTTGAACTAAAGGAACCTGTTTTATGACCTTTCTTGCCACGTTGTTAAGTGACTCACTACAACGGTTAAGTTAGTAACATGTTATGTTGGAAGTGCAAAAAGAAAAACATTCTATCACATGTGGTGGTTCTGTCCGGAGACCCAAAAATATTGCTTAAAAATTAAACAACGGTTGCAAGTGATTATGAATGAACCAATAGAACTAGAACCGGTATTATTTTTATTGGGGATATTGAAAAAGAAATATGGGAGAAATATAAAATATATAGTACTACATATTCTAACTGTAGCCAGAATTGCTTATGCCCAGTGCTGGAAACATACATGTATACCACCAGATGAATTGACTATTCAAAAAAATAATGACTTGTCCTGAGATGGATAAATTAACTCTGATGTTACAAGAGAAAGAAGAGACTGAGTATTATAAGACTTGGGAAAAATGGCATGACTGGTTTGAGCAAAATGGGATAACAAAAAAATTAGTGGGAAGACAGTTCATAAAATAAGTTCCTTTAGTTCAAACCTACAACGGCACTGAAAAGAACGAATGTTTCTATTCGCATCAATTGTACATATTTGTCAATAATCCACAAAATAGTAGTATAAGGAGAATGCCACAAACTGTTGAAGTTAAGATATTTGTACTCTTCGTTTGTTTTTTAAAAAAGTCATAAAAGACTAACAAAGTTTATTATATAAAAAAAAATAAGTAACATGTTGTTAAGTGAATTTGGCTTTCAAGCATTGACTCTGATTGGCAGAAGGTCCCTGGGAG